TCTGCAGCGAGGTGGGCACCCGGGTGCCTCACTTGGCCATGTCTGTGAGGCTCTGCAGCGAGGTGGGCACCCGGGTGCCTCACTTGGCCATGTCAATGAGGCTCTGCAGCGAGGTGGGCACCCAGGTCTTCTCCCCTTGCACAAACACCACGCCCCTGTCGATGTAGATGACGATCCTGCCGAAGGTGTAGAGCTGCTTGCCCTCGTGCCGCTTGCCGATGACGGGCATGAAGACGATGTTGTGCTCCTCGGCCTTGGTCTGGATGAGGTCCTTGAAGTTCATGGGCACGGAGCCGGCGGCGGCGCCGATGCCGCGCTGGGCCATGTTCTCGGCCTCGCGCCGCTCCTGCATGGCCTCGTACTGGAAGTCCTTGCGCCGCTCCGTGTGCGTCAGGTACGCGATGTTCTCCCGAGCGCCCGGCTGCATGTACCCACCTGGCGGAGAGAATGGGGAAGAACACGGTGCTGAGCTGTTCCCAGAGGGAAGCAGCTCCATCCAGGATAAAAGGTCAGTCGTATTTGGAGTGTGGTGTTTAAGTTTGGGCTTTGAAAGTGAGTTCTCAGTTTTGGAAAGAGGGCAAATTTCAGGTGCTGCTCCCTCAGGCACGCCCTTCTCTTTTATACAGTGAATTCCCAATAATCACTTTGAGGTGGTAGGGAGAGTCATGTGAAAGGGAAGGGAACTGCTGTAAAGACAAGGAAAAGAACCAGTATCTCACCACAAGGAAAAAAATACCCAGTAATGACAGCTTTAGAAGTCAAGCCCTAAAGGATGATGTCTGACTGATAGAGGATCAGTTGTTCAATGGCCCAGGAAGCCATGAAAAATCTGTTTCTGCTTCAGTGTAGTCCAGAACTATTGAGCAGCACCTCAGAGGTGTTCTTTAAGGACAGAGCAAGGCAGAGCCCACTGACTCTCACTGCTCATGGGAAATGCTGCCAGCAGGGCCATGCCCCAGTCAGCCTCCCAGGAGCCACACGCTGTGGAGGCACACGTAGTCCGTGGGAAAGCTGTGTGAGAACACGAGGTTTCCCAAAGGCTATTTGTGCCTCCACAACATGTGACTGTGCTGCCAGCTCAGAGCAGCAGAGCCATCCCCACAAGCCACTTACCTACGCTGGAGGACACGGCCCGGTTCATGATGTCAAGGGCTTCATTGAACTTGTCTTTGATGGAGGGATGTGCCAGCACCTGGTCTGAGAACATGGACTTCCAGCCCAGGTACCACTTGGTGATCTCTTCGTAGTTGGGGCTGTTACTGAGCCAAGAGCAGAGCACCTGCAGAGCAAGGAACAGGTCAAAGGAAGCACAGGGATATTTGTGCAGGAGAGTACTCTCTGTCACAGAATCCCAGGGTCATTTAACATGGAAAAGACTCCAAGAATATAAAGTCCAAGCATGACCAGTCACCCCCATATTAACCAGCCCAGAGAACTGAGTGCCACATCCAGGCATTCCTTGGACACCTCCAGGGATGGGGACTGCAAACCTCCCTGGGCAGCCCCTTCCAGTGCCTGACCACCCTTTCCATGAGGAAATTTCTCCTAATGTCTGACCTGAATCTCTCCTGGCATAATTTACCACTTGGTTTATTACTGAGTGTCCGTAACAGGAGGAACTGTTCCAATGACTGCTGAGCTGTGAGTGGGAACCAGCCCAGTTCAGCAATTCCTGGATAGGAATCACTAAAACACTCCCCAGATAACCAAACCTCTTTCCTCAGCCCTCAGTGTCTCACCTGCAACCACTTTGGGAAGAAGTGTTTCTCCAGCAGCCCAACCAGGCTGGAGACAGAAATCATCCCCTCCCAGTCAATCACCCAGTAAAAGGCATCCATGTGCTGCTGGTGTGGGTTAATGATGAGCTCATTCAGACACATTCCTGGGAAAGAAAAGGATAGTTAAAAAAGAGCCTCACTCAGTTTTATCAGTGCCCTGACCTCTTTCACTACCGATACACAGAACTTGAGCAGCACCTTTTTGTTATCCTAAGGGACAGTGGGAATCTTTGGCAGATCCTGCCACAAAATGGTGCACTTCCACTTCCAATGATTACAATTTGCTGCCAGAACTGCGAAACTAAAAAAACTTTACTATTTTTTAACCTTTGAGCCAGTCTGCATTACAAAACTCATGGTGAAACATAAGAACAGACCAAGGAATTCAGGAGTAACAGAGAGACATCTTACAGCCTGGTCTTACCTGACAGCTCTCAGATATTCCTACCAGCTGGAGATGGATGATTTATAAAAAATAAGACCAAAAAACCTAGAGAATAACCAGAATAATATTTCTGCCCCTGCAGAGGACTGGTAGCACAAAATCAGAAGCAAGTTTGGTGTAACCTCACTAACAACAATCTCTGATGTAACACTGGCACCCACATTAGCAAGGATCTTTCCTTGGGGTCAGGGGGAAGGTGCCACCAGCATTCCTGAAATCCAGCACTGCCTATTGTCTCACCGAGTTTAGGCACGATGTTCTTGACCATGAAAGCCTCCCACGAGCCAGGAGTGAACACATCCTTCCAGGGCTGAAGGATGAGCTTGGCAGAGGAGTCGCTGGGGTGCCATTTCTGCAGAGCGTTGGCCAGCTTGTTGCGGATGGGCGAGTACAGCGGCTCCAGCCGCGCCTGCATCAGCGGCAGCCAGGGGTGGATCCACGAGTGGATGGGCACCGTGTCTGTCAGGGGATTCCAGCTCTCCACCTTGGGGCAAAACAGGAAAGATTAACTGAGTCCAGCCACAAGTGCAGCAAGTTTTGTGCAGAAGCACAAAGAACTCTGATGTGACCGCCGGCTCCTCACTCCTTCGGCAGAGGCCAATGTTTGCACCCCGGTGTTTGGGAGTTCCAGCTGGAATTCAAACACCAGTTCAGAGAATGGCTTTGCTCTACCCAGCCCTGTTCTCTCACCTCCTTCTGCAGCTTGGGGAAGATGAGCTGATCCAGAATGTTATCCAGTATCCACACAGGAACAACGTTCACCCAGCTATCCAAGAAATCCACCATGGATCCGCAGTTCCTTGGCTGCCACCGCGCCACGATGTTTCTGACATATGGCATCCAGATCTCCCACATCAGTCTGGGAAGAAACACCAAGTAAATCAAAGTGAAGCTCAAAGCTACAGTCTGGGCCTAAATAAACCAAATGGGAGCTGTTAGTTAAAGCTGTGTCTTTTCTGTAGCTGCAAACTGGATTTTAAGGAGGTCCAGCAAGGGAATCTTTGGGAAAAGTTCCCTTGTATCTGCTCTTTTCCCTCCCCGAGGAAGCAGCACAGGAAGATGCTGCACAAAGTACAAATCATTTGTTCTTTACCTGTGAAAAGCATCTGTTGACAGGTCCTGCCCACTGTGGGATAACAGCTGATCGTTTTCCAGAAGGCTTTTCCACTTGGCTATGATCTCTGTGCCATATGTACAGTCCTGGGAATGACAGGGTACAAATGGTCCTTTATCCTTTTCCATTAATTCCAGCTGGGATCTGCACAGAGCAGGCTGATGGTGTGCTGAGCACAGCCAGCCTTCTCACCTCCTCTCAGGGCAATCCAGGAGCTTGCAGACTTAATTCCAGAAACCCACAATCATTGAAGTTGGAAAAGAGCTCCTAGACCATTGAGCCCAACCTGTGACCCCCTCCCCACCTTGTCAACAGCCCAGAGCACCGAGTGCCACCTCCGTCATTTCTTAAATGACTTTTAGTAAAGTCCTGCCAGAGAAAAATCCCACCTTACAGTATTAGTACACCTCCATGGAGAGGACAGTCTGAACTTTCCCAGGTGTACAGAGAGATCCAGACTCTGCCCCAGCCTAAATGGCACTGAGAACAGACTGTGCATCTCAGATACCTGACAGACAAACCTCTCCTGCTTTTGCTAAAAAACAACAGCTAGAGATTTGCTTTTCACCAAATTCTTCATCTCAAACTCATAAAAGGGAGTGGTTTTAACCTTAAAAACTCCTAAATTTCTACCCAGCAAATATCTGAGAGTGGGGACAGTACAGGGTTTCATTTTGTCTCTTTTCTTTTTCTCCAGACCAATCAGGAATTTAGAATCCCAGACTGGTATGGATTTGAACGGAGCTTAAAGCTCATCTCATACCACCCCTTGCCAGGGGCAGGGACACCTCCCACTAGACCAGGACACCTGGGACAAGGTAACAAAGATTACTGAAGCCATCAAGTGAGAACTGCAGATAAACAAACACACACCTTGAGGGGATCCCAGTTCTTAAAGTATTCCTTCATGAGAGGATAAACTATGGCCACTGCCAGGTCCACCCTGTCTGACATCCTGTACTCCTCGTAGTACTTGTCCTGCAGGGTCTCAAAGATCTTTGCACATTCATCCAGGGTCAGAGGGTTCTCACAGCCCGGCTGCATCCGCCTCTCACACTCCTCCACCATGTCCAGCACCTTGCTGAGGTTGCTGATGGCCTTCTCCTCGTGGGACAGCACCTCAGCCATCTTCTGGATCTCGTGGCTCAGGTTGACCACCATGTCCCTCTCGTACTGCAGCTGCCGGTCGCTCTGGATGATCTCCTGCTCCGTGATGTCGATGAGCAGCTGCAGGTTGTGCTCCAGCTCAGGCAGGGCAAAGCCCTGGGGCTTGGAGTCCTTGCCCAGGGGCTGCTGGGGGCTGTCATCTGGGATGTTGTGCTTGTGGCTGATCTGGCTGTAGCTGTAATAAACCTTCTGCTCCCGGCCCGTCATGTCAATCACCTGCCAGCACACAACGATGAACACTCTTACAAAAAACTCTCTCTCATCTTCCAAAAAGGAGAAAATCCCTGACTCCAGATTGAATTCTGGACATTTCCAACGATCTTAATTACTCCAGGAGGCTGCTAACACACACTGTATTTGAACGAGGGGATTGCCTCCACAATGGCCTTCTCCAGACACAAGGAGTTAGAATGAGTAAGAGACAATCTGGAATCAGAGCCACAAGAATCTCCTCATCTCATCCCACTTTCACTGAATGATTCTACAAGCAGTGATCTTGCCATTACTAATAGTTACACTATTAGTTATTTCACTTAGAACCTTTATAATTTTATAAAGACACTTTAATTTCGGATTCATAATTTTATTGAGTGCATACCAAATCCCTTACTGTCCCTTTGAGGTAGAAGATGGTTCAAACAACCCCAAAAAGGATAACTGTGCTTTTAGAAGTGGGTGAGTGTTGATTACGACAAACATGAAACAATTAAACTTAAATTGCAATTAATCCCCCACACATGCTCACATTTAATCTAATTTGTCACCATGTCCAGGTGATACAGAGCTAATAAATGGCTTAGGGATGAGTTCCACGAGGCAGCACAGATAGTTCCTAGGACTGGCTTTCCTGAGGTTACCAGTGCCTAAAATGTCCTGGTGATACCAAAGGGCCCAAACTGCTCCCCAGGCGTCATTTCTTGGCTTATCAACCTCACCTTGACCTGGGACAGCTCCTTCTGAGGGGCTGCAAGCTGCTTGCTGATCCTGCCCTTGGCTTTCAGCTCTTCCACTGTCTTGTAGCTGTACTTGGGCTTTTTCTTGCCTCCATTCGGGTCCTTCCGCCACTGGCTGAGCTCCTTCTGAAATTCCTGGACAAAAACAGCAGAGTTGTGGTGACTGCTCTTTGTCACACCCCAAATCTGCCTCTTTTTACAGGAAAATAACCATCAGACCAATGAGGAATTTGTACAGGAAATAACTGGGAAGTAGAAAAGCTCATGCCAAACCAGCCTGGATGCTGTGAGCCAGTCACCCACCCCATGGATTAAATGAACATGATGTTCCTGGTCTTTTATTTTATTTAAATAGAAGACAAAGACTATTTACACGGGGGATTCTTCAAAAGAGGGATTCTAGCAAAGCTACTGAAATAGAGTGAGCCAGAAACAACAAAGAACATTACAGTGATAAGCAAAATCTGCCTAAACGAAATCAACATGTTCTGTGTTTGGCTTTTTATCTAAAATTAACCCAAACAGTTTTCTCTGCCACAGAAATTTAAAAAAACTGAATTTTGTACACACAGCACAGCAAAGAAACAACAAGAACCCCAGAAATACCTCCTCAGCTTCCTCTTCCGAGTCCACCACAGGGAAGTCCTGCAAGGACTGCGGGGTCCTCTCGGAGCCATAAGCGCCCACAGCACCTTTGCCTTTCCTCTGCTTGGCCTCGATGGGATTGATGATTCCTGGCAGGATGGGAATGGGGTCAGGAGGAGCAGTTTGTGTGCTGGGAGAGAGCAGAACAGCCAGGCTTTCCCTACAAGTTACCAGATCAGCACCAACACCTTCCCTGCCAGTGCCTCCAGCACTGCAGTACTTCCAAAATCACCAGTTCCCTGTAAAATCACTTCATCTCAGCACACACCAAACTGCCAAAGCACAGCCTTGCTCCCAACCACATTTCACTGCCTTTTTATCCTGCCACATAAAACAGCATCTCCTTTTCTGTGGAATGATCACCTTTGGAATTTACTGCCTTTTTTTCTTGCTCTTTTTCTCTTGCAAAATACCCAGAGGAGGAAATGGCCACAGGTCAGTTTGAACACCCCTGACTCTCACCACAGGGCCTGGATCACTGGCAGGAAAAGAAGCTTAAACCATCTGGGGCTGGCAGTTCTTTAAGGGATCCAACCTCTCCTCCAAACCCCCAGTTAATAATAAACCACCAAACACACTGACAGTACCTTGAGCATTCTTCCCCAGACCCCTTCCAGGGACATATCCCATCTTCTGGAGAAGCTTCTGCCCAATTCCTTTAGTGTGTCTCTCCCAGCTGCCAAAATCCACGAAGGACTTGGAGCCCCCTGCAAAGCCTTTCTGGCTGGGCTTGAAATTTCCACCCTGTTAAAAACAAACACACAAAAACTTGCAGCCCTGAGGCTTCAAATAACCAAAGTGTGCACAACTCCCCTCAAAAAGTTCTTTCCAGAAGCAATTCTGCTGTCCCCACACTGCCCAGCTCACTGGAACCTTGACTGGACATCCATGAAGCACTTATGGAGACTCCTGGAATTCCTAAAATACAAAAGGAAATCCTGAAAAACTCTGGCTAACAACCTGACAGCTCTCAGGTTCCACCACCAGATTTAGCTGAAGCTGATTCCTGATTCTTTCTGGTTTCATCTGAAAATAGGGTTTGAGTCTTAATCTACAACATGCCTGGATTTGTCCATTCTGTGAAAGTAGAAAAATAAAGTCTCTGAAAGGCAGGAAACCACAGGAATTCTCTTCTTTAAACCTCCACTGACCAAAGGGAATATTGAGAAAAATGAAAGGACTGACTCACAAGGACATACAATCACTATATCAATGTACAGTTGTACCAATGATTTAGAGCCTCTGATTTAATAATTTCCCCCTTTTTTAGTGCTCTATTACAGTTACACTACCCTCAACCACAGCCTGAGTTTCATAAATATAAAAGTAAATTTCCTGGAGAACTCACTGTTTTTAACTTCTTGGGCACAAACTCCTTGGGAATCTCCTCCTGCTTCACGGGCTTCTCATCGTCATCCGAGTCCTCATCCGAGAGCTCCTCGGCCGCCCCCTTCCTCAGCCCAGCACTGACAAAGCTCACGGGGGCTGAGTAATCCCTGGAGCTGCAAAAGGAGAGGGAATTCTACTCCAGGGCACACTCCTCCAGGAGCCTAGAGGCTGCTGTGCCTTACACCCCCCAAAAACGGGATATTAAAGGCTATCGAGGTGTTTAACTCTGCTTTTGCCAGGCAATCCCCATCCTCCCTGCCGTGTTCGAGGGAGTGAGCACAGCGAAAATCTCTACAGCTGAGGGGGGCCCCGGGATGGGCTGCTCGGGTGGGTGTTCACATCCGGGAAAAGCCCACGGAACGGGAGGGAGCTGCAGGGAACGAGGGGAGCTGCAGGGAACAGGGGAGCTCTGCGGCCAGGGCCGGTCCTGGGGTCCCTGAGAGGGCCGGGGGTCCCAGCCCGGCCGTACCGCTTCCCGCCGAAGCTGGGCCGCTCCTCGTCCGAGTCGCGCTCGGCCCACACGCCGTATGTCGCCTCCTCCTTGGTCTGGCGGTGCCGCTGCCGGTGCGGGTTGAATTCGTTCTGCAGGTCCCAGTCCGACACCTCGAAGCTCTCCATCTCCACGCCATCGTCTCCGTCCGTGCCGTACAAGTGCGACATCGACATCGCGGCACGGTGGGATGCCCCAGGCCGCTCAGGGACCCCCGGGCCGCTCAGGAACTCCTGACCCAAGAGCCCCGGGCCGCTCACGGAACGCCAGAACCGGCGCCGGCCTCGCCGCCAAACCGGATGTGCACCATTCACTTCCGGCCCGTTCCTGTAGCGCAAGCCCCGCCCCCAAACCATAGAGTCGCGAGGAGCGGAGCGGCCGCGCCGCCCTGTGGCCCGGCGGAGTTAAGGGGGCGGAGTCCGCGCGATTAATAATTAAAATATTAAATATCAAATCAACACTTTAATGGTGTTCGACACCGGGGCTGGGGGGGGGGAGGGGGGTCATATATTAACTCTGCAATAGCCTCTGCAGGGTCGGGGAGGGGGAGTGGGGAGGAGGGCACACACACCACAAAGGCTGTGCAGGGCCAGGGGGCTGTTCCTGACCCTGGGAATTGGGAACAGCAGGACCAGGGCGGCTCTTCCCGATCCCAGGAATACGGAACAGCAGGGAGGGGAGGGCTGTTCCCCACACCGGGAACGGGGGGCAGATCACGAGACACAAACGCGATGTACAGAGTCCTCCAGCCTCGGCACAGGGAATCTCCTCCCGTCCCCACCCGGATTTCCACAGCTGCATTCCCCACGGAGCGCTGGGAGAGGCCGGGGATGTTCCCGCCGTGGAGCACGTTTGGCCTTTGCAAATAAATGCAAATACATTCCTGGAGCGCAGTCATTTGGCAACAGTAGGAGCAAGCAATATGCTTGGAGAACCGATTTCCACGGGCCCACTGCACACTCTTCCTTCTCAGGCAACAACAGGCCATTGGCAGCGTTCTGGAAGAGACAAAACACAGAACCTCAGGGGCAGGATCCCTTTGGGAACAGGATCCCCTCAGAGACACAATTCCCTAAAGAACAGGATCCCCTCAGGAGGAGGATCCCCTCAGGAGCAGGATCCCTTTGGGAACAGGATCCCCTCAGGGGCACAATTTCCTAAGGAACGGGATCCCCTCGGGAGCAGGATCCCCTCAGGAACGGGATCCCCTCAGAAGCAGGATCCCTTAGGAATAGGAGTCCCTAAGGAACAGGATCCTCTCAGAACAGGATCCTTTAAGGAGCAGCATTCCCTCAGCAGGATCCCTTACCCCTCAGAGACAGAATCCCCTTGGGAACAGGATCCCCTTGGAGCAGAATCCCCTAGCACTGCAATGCTTAACTGAGGGTTTAAAGCCCCTGTGACACAAAAAACGGCCAGAAAGGAACCAATTCTCAGCCCAGGACAGGGGACACACAATTCCTGATCTTCCCTCAGTGCTTTTGATCTTTTTCTAGCCCAACCATCTGCTTGTGCACAGAAACTTGCTCTTAAAGGATGGGTTTTAGTACCAAGAATGATATTTTATGCTTTAGCATGAAGGAAGAACATCCAACACATCAACAGTTGTCTCTGCAGTAGAAGCCCAAGGCAGCAGCTTTGTTTTCCATCATGTTTTCCTTTGTTTTCTATCCCCTTCCTCAGGTCCATGGCACGTCCTCGGAGGCAGCTGGGGAGCAGCTCAGCTCATCCACACATTCCATGTGTCCCTGCTGCCCGCAGGGACAGGCTGCAATAACCCTCCCAAGCGGCTGAGTTTCATTTTGCAGCTTTAATCCTGTTCCCAGAGCTCAGGAAAAGAATTCCTTACAAATGGTCCCACACAGCAGCATTGTGTGGGAAGATCTGAGGCGACTGTGAAGGATCCCTGGCACTAGGAGTGTGCCTGGAACTCCAGCTGATCCACAGAAATCACACAAACCAAATGCTGGTCCTGGAGCAATGCAGGCAGATTTGCCCAAATCCCAAAATTAAGTAAACAAGGTCTTACCTGGAAATCATTAATTTTCTTAGTGAGAAGATGACGTGTTCTGAGTCACCTGGAAGAGCCCCAAAAGAGAAGGGTCAGCTCTGAGCCAGCATTTCACAGGGATGGGAGCAGGACCAGGCACCCTGTGTGTCCAAAACCCCCAAACCTCTCAGGATACATCCAGCTCTTACCTGTAGGTGACCTTTGAGATTGGCTGGAGTTTTATAATCCCCCTTTAAAACCTGTGGGAAAGAGAACCTGGAGTGACCCCCTGGGGCAGTGGAATCATCTCCGGGTCACTGCTGTCAGCCATTCCCAACCTTACCAGGGAAACGGCTTCACCTTGAGTGCTTTGTCCTGCTCTGGGCCCCTCTCTCCAGGACAGACATGGAGGGGCTGGAGCTTGTTCAGAGAAGGGAATAGAGCAGGGAAAGGGGCTGGAGCCCCAGGAGCAGCTGATGGAGCTGAGAAAAGGGCTCAGCCTGGAGGAAAGGAGGCTCAGGGGGGACCTTGTGGCTCTGCACAACTCCCTGAGAGGAGGGGACAGGCTCTGCTCCCAGGGAAAAGGGACAGGAGGAGAGGAAACTGCATCAAACTGTGCCAGGGGAGGGTCAGGTTGGACACCAGGAGGAATTTCCTCATGGAAAGGGTGGTCAGGGCTTGGAACTGCCCAGGGAGGTTTGGAGACTCCATCCCTGGAGGTGTTCAAGGAATGTGTTTGATGTGGCACTCAGTGCTCTGGGCTGGGTGACAAGGTGGGGATCGGGCACAGGTTGGACTCCATGGCTCCGGAAGCCTTTTCCAATCCGAGTGATCCCAGAATTCTGCGATTCTGTTTTCCCCGTGTGTCTGTTGCCCCCCTGCTCTTTCCTGATCCGGCTGAGGAGCTCCCCTTGCTCCGGAGGGCTCTGTGACCCCTCTCCCGTGCCCCCATGGCAGTGCCACTCACTCTGTGCGTGTTGTTGACAACCAGGGGGTCGGGGTGGCCGTAGTTGGGGGGGTTGGCATAGGGGTCGTAGCCGAGCCTGGCGAGCATGGGGGCGATGTGGGCCATGTCCTGCAGCACATCCCCCGGGATGTGCCCGATCCATTTGGATAACGCCTCCATGTTCACCGGCTTGATCACCTGGTCTGTTGACCTCTCTATCCTGGGGAAAATAAAGGAAAAAAAAAAAACAAAAGACACGATGGTTGGATTTCACTCATGTGCTGGGCTCACACAAAACTCGCTGCCACCTCCTCAGAGAACCACAGGACGGGACCTTAAATTCCATCCTGTCCCATTCCCTGCCATGGGCAGGGACACCTTCCACCATCCCAGGCTGCTCCAAGTCCTGTCCCACCTGGCCTTGGGCACTTCCTTGGATGGGGTAGCCACACCTTCTGTCCCTCACAGCCCTGTTCTGGGGAAGCAAACCCTGGCAGGGGGTTCTACAGCCCCAGAGGCTGGGTCCTCCTGTTTAGAATCATGGAATCACTAAGGTTAGAAAAGCCCTCTAAGATCAGTGAGTCCAATCATTCCCACAGCACTAAGTGGCTAAGGCCACCACTGACCCATGTCCCCAGCTGCCACATCCACACAGCTTTTAAATTCCTTCAGGGATGGTGACTCTACCACTGCTCTGTTCCAGTGCTTAACTACCCTTTCAGGGAAGGAATTTTCCTTTTTATCCAACATAAACCTCCTTTGGCAAAACTTAAGGCTGCTTCCTCTTTTCCTATAGGAGGGATCCATCCTGCACTGGGACAGGGGGTTTCACCAGGACACCTCGGCTTATCAGAGGAAAACAATGTAAGATGTGTGGGCTGTAGCACAGATACACACCTGGTGACCTCTATGAATATTCAAAACCTGATTTAAGCAACCTGGACCAATTTACCCCGAGCAAACAGGGAAGCAGAGCCAGCTGCATTCCCAGGGCATCCTGGAAAACCGGAGCAGCTGCACATCCCCCTCCTGTGTGGCTCCTGTGCCCTCACCACTGGGGCACCAGCAACTGATATGGAGACTTGGATAATTCCCTTACACGGCTGATTAAATTTTGCTAAGCCTGACTTAAGCCTCCATTTAGAAAAGAAACAGCATTAAAAGAGGAAAAGAAAGTGGGAGAAGGTAAACACCCCCCGAACATGGAGATGCCAGGAGAGAGTGCTGGGTGTGCCTCCACTGAGCAGGTATTGCTTTTATTCTGCAATACCAGCCCCAGACCTGGCAAGAACTGCAGCTCATCATCTTTAGCAGCACAACTAATCACACCAAGGAGGCAGGCATCTGAGGACGGGTGGAGAAAGAGGCATTAAAGAGCTCACGTTTCAGAGCAAGCAGCTCTTTGCAAATTAGAGACTGAAATAATTTCTGCAGTGTCAAGAGAGATTAAACAGTCACCTGCTTCTGAAATCCTTGCTTGACAAGCTGTTCTGTGGAGTACAACAGATTGGGAGCATTAAAGCCATTTCTTATTCAGGCACACAAACCCCACTGCAGTACAATGTGCTATCCCTCCTCCCTTAAAATCACACACAAACACCAGCAACGCAGTGCTGGTGTTTCAGCCTGCTTTGTGTAACGAAAATACTCGAAAAGCTGAGGAAGGAGCCGAGACTCACTTGGAAAGGGACACCCCGCCGGGCTTCCCGATGAGCTCCTCGTGGTGCAGCACCGTGTCGCTCCAGGAGATGTCCAGGAACCTCATGATGTTGTGCATGGACTGCTCGGGGTGCAGCACCAGCTGCTCGTAGTAGACGGGCAGGCAGCGGGCGCGGCCGATCTCCAGGCACTGGGAATACATCACCTCGATGGCCTTGTTCCACTTGGTCAGGCAGTCCCGGTAGCTGTTCAGGTCGAAGCCGGCGATCGTCACCTTGCGCGTGATCATGGAGTGCACCGAGGCGCGCCCGTCCCGCACCATCAGCAGGAACTTGGAGTTGGGGAACAGCCGGGACAGGTACACGGAGGATTTCAGCGTGAAGGGGTCCTTGTTACACAGGTACCTGGCGGGCTCGCCGTGCTTGGCGATCACCTCCAGGATGAAAGCCTGCATGGCCGCGTCCAGCACCTGGTCCGTCACCCCCGCCTCGTCCAGGCGCATCTTCTCGCGGCCGGACTTGGACCAGGCCTGGCGCATGGCCAGCACGCGGGGGATGATGCGGGTCTCCTCCCCGCAGCGCACCTCGGGGTGCGCGTCCAGCATGGCCCTCATCAGCGTGGTGCCGCTGCGGGGGACGCCGCCGATGAAGATCAGCGGCATGTCCTTGCTGTACCGGTACTCCACGTGGTTGGCGTCCACCATCACCAGCTCCTCGTTCTCGGGCCTCATCAGCCTGTGCCTCCTCTCGCTCAGCACCTGCTGGCACTCCAGGACCTGCTGCCCGAGGTGCAGGGTCACCATCAGGGCCGCCACCGAGCCCACCAGCAGCAGCACCCTGCGCGTGGTGACCCGCATCCTGCTCTGCCGGGCACAGGCTGGGGGCTTCAGCTCTCTGCTAGTGAGTGTCCAACCCCACGGGCATCTGCAAAGGAACAGCACTGTCAGAGCAGCGGGGCCAGCCCTGCTCCCATGGGATGCTGACACCATCACAGGATTTCATCACCTCCTTCGCTTATCAGCACCTCCCAGGCTTGGTGCCTTACACCCAGCAGGTAATTAAAGTCTGCATCAGTGCACACCCAAAGAGAGAATTTCTGCACTGTTTGTGCTCCCAGAAACACAGGTTAACACCTGGAGCAAAGCTCCAGGAACGTTTTGGAGAGGAGGGGCCCTGTATACTTAGGGACTCCTTCAAACAAAATCTTTACAGAGAGCCTGTTCCATCCCAGATGAAGCTCAGACCCTCGGTGAGGTTATTCCTCCCAAACCCAAGTCAGCACTCCAGCACTGCTCACCTCTCAGCCACCTGCATCCTCCCTACGTTTTGTTTAGTTTAACCCTGTGGTCACAGGGGAGAGGAAAGCTGAAATAAGAGAAAAACAAAAGCCTCTCATGCCAGCTTTAAGGGTTTGAGTCAGGAGAAACCGTTAGAATGAAACACTGAGAAATTCAACCAGAGTGAACAGCCACACGCAGCGTTCACCACCCTGCCCTGCCTCGGAGACTGACCTGACAGAGAAATCCGTGAAACTTCATCTGGCACCGAGACTTTCTGGGGTTTTCCACGGCTCGGCAGGACATCCAGCAGGAAGGCTGCAGCCTCTGGAAGTGCCCAGCTCAGCTGCGTGCCCGGAGGGACTCCCGGGAATGCTGGCACCGCTTCCCACCCCCTCCCCCCCGTCCGCCCCAGTTGCGAGTGCAGGTTTTGCAATCCTCCCCTGGGCTCACCCCGGGATTTCCAGTTCTTTGTGTTTATGTGGCTGGGGTAGGAGCTGAATGGAGTGGAAGGAACGGGCTGTCCATGGATTCTGTTTTGCTGACAGGCCAAAGAGCTGCTCCAGAAAAGCGTTTTCTCCCCTCCACGAAGAAACACATTGTGCAGCAGTTCATGTGGAGCAGGGATCAGGCAGGAGAGAGCCTGGAGCTGGGCAGCTTCCCTGCTCCTGCCCCTCCTGCCAGGCACTCAGAGACTAGCTCTGCTCCCTAATTCCAGTCCTTGACATCCCACTCCACCATCCCAGACTGCTTCCATCCACCCACTGGCTTTTATCCACTCCTGCCCAGGCAATGCCTCTCTGCCAGCCCAGAAATGCCCTTCCCCAACTCAGCAGCACAACAACATCACCACCAAAAGTAATTTTGTGGCTCTTTACTACCTGGTCCACCCTGACCAGCTGCTTGGTAACATACCAAAGCTAAACAGCCTCAACTGCATCCCTAGGTATAAGATAAAGTGGGTGGATTTGTTGGGATGTAGATCAGAGGGACACCCAACAGCTCTGGCATTTTTGCAGCACCAAGCAGAGTCAGAGCCATTAACAAGACAAGTGCTGCTCCTTCCTGCTCTTCTCATCTGTTTCAGTCATGTAAATATATTCAAATGTTCACCCTAAAATAATTGCAAATGCCACAAGACCCATTTCAAAGGATGGCAGAGGAGCAGGCAGGATTTAGGGCCAACTGGAATAATTAGGGCGATGCAGACCAAGACAGGCTAATTAGCAGCAAAGGCTGCATCGTGAAAGGAGGCTGGAGCACAGAAGTGCTCTGTTCTCCAGGAGAACCAGCTGACAGGGAGCAGCTCCCACCGAGATGCTCCAGCAGCTCCGGCAGAGCTGCGGAGGGAACAAAGGGACTCTCATATTGTGTGTGATGGGAGGGTGGCTGAGGCTGCCAGCTGTGCCAGGTCACACATCAGCAGGAATTTCCTCATGGAAAGAGTGGTCAGGCCTTGGAAGGGGCTGCCCAAGGAGGTCTGGAGTCCCCATCCCTGGAGATGTCCATGGAATGCCTGGACGTGGCACTCAGTGCTCTGTGCTGGTGACAAGATGGGGACTAAGCACAGGTTGGATGGTCTGGGAGGGCTTTTCCAACCTGCGAGATCTTGGGATTCTGTGAGTCCCTGGGGACTACCCTGCCTGTCCGTCAGGCAGGGACACAGCCCCCATTGTTCCCCACCCAATGCCACCAGCTTGGGGAAGCTCCCACTCCATGTGGGGAGTGGGAAAGGCAGGTGCCCACAGGAGCATGGCTTCTCCCCACTGCTGAGCTCTGCACTCTGGCTCTGCCCCTGAACAGCAGCCCCTGGGAGGGCTGGAATGGGACAAACCTCTCCATTGGGATCACCCTGGGATCACCCCAATGTGCTGGGAGGGCTGAACAACATCCAGAGAGTGTCTGGCCACGGGCTGGAGGAAACCACAAACAGCCCAGCTGGTTCTCAGCTCTTTTGTGCAATTCTCCACCGAGAATTTCCTAAAATTTATGGGTCTCATTAGTCTATGAGGGAAGGCGGATGGGTCATTTCCTCCCCAGCAGACACTGTGCTGGAATCATGGTGTAATTAGGTGCAGGGCTGTCTGAGCAGAGACAGCCTTTCCAGAGACAACACCCCTTCAGAATTCCAAACTGGCTCTGAGAGCTTCCCATTCCAGCAGGAATTAGGGACCTCTCAGAGGCTACTCTGGCATATGGTGGCAGGGAATGGTGACATGGGAGCAGAAATCAAAGTGCCAGCAGCAACCCATGGCTGAAACCTCTGAGTGCAGCTTGGACATGACAGAACAAAGATTTGACCCAGGGCCAGGGGCTCTGTCCCTGGCTAGCATCAGGGCAAGACTGGCACCCAAAGCGTGGGGGAAGATGGGAACCAGTGGGGAAGTGACAGCAGAGTGACAAGAGGTCCTACAGGCAGCAAGTCTTCTCAATTCCCATGCTGATGGGACATGAGCATGAACGAGGTTGACACTGTGTCCTGCCAGCTTGTGAAAGCAACAAGGACCAACAGGGCACCAGTGGTGGGATGGACAGATGTGCAAAATCATCAGACAGATGTGCAGCAGTCACTCAGCATGCTAGGGGAACCACACATCCATCTGCTGGCTCTTACCTTTCCCCTGTAAGGTCATTGTGCTGTTACTTGAACTTCATGCTGCATCTGTGGCCACCAAAACACCTGATGGGGAAGAGAAGCCACAGTGTTGATTTGTTTATTTAGCACACACATCTGCTCTCCTCCTCAGCACCTTCCCCTCCTGCCCACAGCCTCCTCTGAGCCCCAGGGAAAGGTGTTCATGCTGGAGCTGGTGGTTCCAGCTCATGGTCAGTGCTGGCCTTGGCACACCTGCCCTGAGACACCAGCACTGCTCACAGAGCACAGCCAAGCCAGGACACACAAAGGGAAGCAGCTCTTTTAGGAAATGCAGCCTCCTGGAAGGGAGAGGCCTCAGGGGGACTCAAGCAGCCTGGAGGGGATGTTTAAGGCCCAGGGGATGACAATCCAACTGGGCACAATTCCAGCACACATCCACCAGCACAACAGCCTTGATCAGAGGAAGCAGCCCCAGACTCGCCTGCTGCAAATGCTGAAATCAGGCATAAATCAGATTATGAGCAGTGCCCCCAAATTAGTGACAGTGAAAGGAGACAGAGCCCAGAGGACCTGCAGGCCTGGCAGGACCTCCCAGCTCCAGCCCAAGGAATAAAGCTCTCTCCATCCTCACCACCTGCCAAGGCAGCAGCACCAGCTCCTCACAGCATGGAAATCCCTCCAGGTTTGGAACCAAACCCCTGGACACCAGGTTTCCCACAAGGACTGCTCCATGCCAGGAAGCCCAGCAGCCTTGGCTGAAGCCATCCTGCAAGCACAGAGCATCCTGGGGACAGTCTGGGACACGGAGCTAAAGCAGAGCACCCCAAGGGGCCAGGATCACTGGATGTCACTCTGCTCCCAGGGTCACAGCATGGACACGGGACCATCATGGGGTCACTGCTGCTGGGACATTGCCAGTCAGCTCCCCCCCTGGCTGCACAGCAGGTCCTGGCCTCGCAGGGTGTTCCTGAGAACATTTCCAGTAGTGACACTAATGGCTATTCCAGCCACCCGAGCCTCCTCTCCTGCCATCGAGTGTCACCGGCCCCTCCGCCTCAGGACTAAGGAGAAACCAGAGGGAAACTCCACCCAGCATGAACTTCCAAGGGCTTCTCTGAGAGGCTTCCTGCTCAGCTTGGCTCTGAGAGCTTCCATGGACTGCAGGATTGCAGCTCCAGACCATGCTGCAGCTCCACTGCATCCCTGGAAGTGCTTCTGCAGTGCCACAAGTGCTGAGGTGCAGGGACAGAGGTGGTTTAAGAGCCCACCCGACTCACCCTGCTCCAGAAATGGCTCCAGATCCTGCCTGTGCACAGACACACAGACAGACACAGGGACACACACTTGTTTGCGACTTCCTTCCTGATGCTATGCAGGGCGTCACCACCAGCTGGGCTCCAACAACAGCTCTGACCGAAACCCCGACCACAACCCCTGAGTGAAACCCCTGACCTTGGCACCTGCACTGGGAACGGGTAAAAACCACCCTCGGAACAGCCCCTGTGCCTGCCCAGCATACTCAGCAGTGAGGAAACACCATTTGTTAAAGTGTTACAAACAACCACGGAAACAGCTTCTATGAGAAGCCCCATATGATCAAAAGCTGCATTTTTCTTTAAACCATTCCCAGATATGATTGTCATTAAGTGCAGCCTCCCCAAAAGACGTAGGTGTGGCCTGGAAAATTTGAGCTCAATTTGTTGGTGCTTAATAAAAGGATGAGGATCTGCAGGCGCCCTTGTGGCGGAACAGCAGCAGAAACTGTGGTCAGCAAGAAATGTCCCAACATATCCAACGCACATCTTTACAAATCAGCAATATTTAATTACTGAATTGATAGTCTCCAGTTCATTTATAAAAATAAACACAGCTTGCCTGAGGGCCGCTGCTTCATCCCAACCTGAGCTCAGTCCAACGCTGGCACTGCTGATGGCAGCTCTGCTCCTCCTGGATGCTCCTGCTGGCAACTTGAACGGCACATTTCCAAACATTTCCCAAGTATCTCTCTTAGCAGGACTGGAGTGCAGTGACCATGGGACATTGAGCATGGAGCATGGGGAATGGGGCATGGAGCATGGGGCCAGCCCCAATCTCCACCAGGAGCCCACAGAGGCACCACAGGGGTGGCTGTGGTCACCGAGTGCAGTGTCAGCCCCGTTGCACAACCCCCAGCTCCTGCTCCTCCACCCCAGCACTGCCCAGACCGGGATCGATCCCACAGCACAGTGGGAACAGGGTCCAGCCCACCCACCCCAGCGGTGGGACAGGGGCTCAGCACATACCTCTGCTGCAGGTGAGCCAGGGCCCTGAGCCTCGGAGGGAAGATATGAAAATGAAGCTGCAGCACTCAAAAAAAAAAAAAACAACAAACCCAGAATAAAAAAGAAGCTGCTGTCAGCCACCACGAGGTGAGAGCGGCACCGCTGAGAGCAGGACGGGTTTGGTGACTAAAACTGAAGCTGCACTGCAGGTCATGAACCCAGGGCATCCACCGGAAGAGGCCAATTTCAGTGAAAACACAACCAATACCAGCAAAAACACCTGGGGTCTGGAACACTTTGGAGTTCTGTGTCCCTTGGAAAATCCCCAAACACCAGGGACAGCCCCGTGGTTCACACTTGCAGTGCCGCCATCATCTCAGGGAAAAACTAACAGTCAAAAGAGTTCAAGGATGAGTGTTCAAGCAGCCATCTCGGCACCCAAACCACACAGAGGCTGCTCCAGCTGCATCTTAGCAACCAA